CGGCAGCCTGTCCCGGCTGAGCAGCAAAACCAATCTGAATATCAAGAAGGGCACCGAGCCGGGAGCGGAGAATGCCGTGGCACCCTCGTTCCTCGTGGGACCTTCGCCTAAAACTGTGCGCGAGGGCGACACTGTCACCCTGGACTGTGTGGCCAATGGAGTGCCCAAACCGCAGATCAAATGGCTACGCAATGGCGTCGACTTGGATCTCAATGATCTGGATTCACGCTTCTCCATCATCGGAACTGGCTCCCTGCAAATCTCCAGTGCCGAGGACATTGATTCAGGGAACTATCAGTGCCGGGCTAGCAACACAGTGGACTCTTTGGATGCCCAGGCCACAGTGCAGGTTCAGGAGCCGCCCAAGTTCATCAAGGCGCCCAAGGACACCACCGCCCATGAGAAGGACGAGCCGGAATTGAAGTGTGACATCTGGGGCAAGCCCAAGCCCACCATAAAGTGGCTGAAGAACGGAGATCTCATCACGCCCAATGACTACATGCAACTGGTGGATGGTCACAACCTAAAGATCCTTGGCCTGCTGAACTCCGATGCGGGAATGTTCCAGTGTGTGGGCACCAATGCCGCCGGCAGTGTCCATGCTGCAGCTCGTCTGCGGGTGGTGCCGCAAGGAGGTGAGTGGAATCCCTGAAACCTGTACTACCTTCTAGTGCGTAGTCCGTAGCTCTCTTGGTGTCCAGAATGTGTCCAGCTTCTGCAATTGGCTCCGCTCTCTCTCTCTCCCTTTGGCTCTCTAAAGCCTCTCTGTAAAATGAACCCCACGAAATTTAATGGCTATCTATAAAAATATATAAACCTGATTCCCTAGACTTCACTTCACTTGTACAAAAAATCCCTTCATTTATTATCCTGCTTTTGTAATATAACATTTCTTTATATGTGTCTATGTGTGTATTTTGTTGTGTATATATTTATATATTATATATAAATTATATTAATCAAGTTAATTTATTGCCAATTATGGAAATCTCTTTTGTGGCTAAAGCAAAACTGTGTTTAATATGATTCTTTCATGTGCCATGTGCCAGGCGTAAAATGTATTAATTTCAATAACAATTACAATATCTTTATTATTACCTACATAATAAAAGCGCTGCAATAAACCATATGTATTATTCAGTAACTGATTAAAAGTCACTGAGCCACAAAAGAATTTGCCATAAATTAATCCAATTAATGCCAAGATTAATCCTTATGGCATACATTTTATTAATTTCGAATATTATTTATTAACTTTATTGTTTATTATCCTTTGTTCCTTCTTTTTTCCTTTATCCCTGCCTCATTTCCATACGACATCACCACCCACCCACCACACATTCTCCTCATCCGACGCATCCCACTCCCAAAGTGAAAATCAAAAAACGCAAAAATCAAGGCCAATCCACCAAATCCCTTCAGACTTTTGACAATCCCACCAATCCCAAGCGACGCAAACCATTTAATTCTGGTGAGCAGCTGCGAACCAAGTCAGGTGGCAGTCTCCGCTTCTCCCACGAGAACGATGACGACGACCTGGACAATGACGATGTCGACGATGACTCCAGTACGACTCGGATAAGGTTGCAACCGCTCAACGATCGACGGTTCGAGATCATGAATGCGGCCAGTGCTCTGAGGAAGGAGAGTGTCCAGAGTTACGAGGACGATGACGACAATGACGATAACTATGACGATGACGATCCTGCGGCAAATGCTGCTGCCCAGGCGGCGTATAAGAAGGGGGAGGATCCACAGAAAATACTGGCCAACTGGCAGGAGAGCGAGAATAAGAAATCCCAAAAGCAGCAGCAGCAAAAAAAATCCTTCCCTGCTTCCCCAGATTCCCCCGAACAGGATTCAAGTGCGACAAGTTCCGGTTCCGGTAAACCCCTAAGCAGTGGACTCCAGGCCAGGCTACCCAGCCAGCCGCGGGATCTCGTTGCCCAGATAGTGAAGCCACGCTTTGTGACCCTCAGCTGGGTGGAGCCCCTCCAGAATGCCGGCGAGGTGGTCTACTACACGGTCTTCTACAAGATGAATAACAGCGAGAGGTGAGTGAAATCGGGTGTAATATTCCCATGCGCATCATTAACCCGGCAATTAGCAGAGATTAAACCTATTTGCGTAGTTTGGCAATCGCCTTCATCTCGTCAGCCAAGCGGAAATGATTTCGCATTCAATTCAATCGGAATGTCCGCCTGTCTGGCTGGCATCCTGTGGTTGCTTCCTGACCACCAGTTACTCAAGAAACTAAATTTTAAGCAAAGCTAAATGTCCTCTGGTATGAAAGGAAGTCAGTCAATGGGTAGGGTTTTAAAAGCATTTATGATTTGTTGAGTTAACGGAGCTACAGATTTTATAGCTTATCAAAAGGTTTTTTCTATGGTGTCCTAGCATTAACTTGGTATAAGAAAAGAATTGTATTAATATAACTATTAACACTCATTTCCAGAGAGCAAAAAATGGTCACCAAGTCGCATGATGATCAGCAAGTCAACATTCAGTCTCTATTGCCGGGCAGAACCTACCAGTTTCGAGTGGTGGCCAATACCAATTTCGGTAGCGGCGAATCCTCTGCTCCACTTGAGGTCAGTACCCAGCCGGAGGTGAATATTGCAGGGCCACCGCGCAACTTTGAAGGCTATGCCCTCAGTCACAAGGAGATCCATGTGCGCTGGGAGGAGCCAGCAGTGACCAATGGAGAGATACTCAAGTATCGCGTTTACTATTCAGAGGTGAGATTCAAATAACTTTATATCTTTTAAACATACTAAAAGTTAATCCTTACTTACAGAATGATAGCGGCGCTGACTTGTATCATGATAGCACCACCATGTCTGCTTTGCTCACAGAACTGCGTCCGCACACGGACTATGTGATCTCGGTGGTGCCCTTTAATCGGAACGGCATGGGAGATCCTTCCTCAGAGATTCGAGTGAAAACGTTCTCTTCCACGCCATCCGAGCCGCCCAATAATGTCACCCTAGAAGTAACCAGCTCAAGCGTAAGTATACATATATACAAAAATATTAAAAACAAAAGCTAATAGATATTACCTTTTCCAGTCCATTACGGTTCATTGGGAGCCACCGGCAGAGGAGGATCGAAATGGTCAAATAACTGGTTACAAGATTCGTTATCGCAAGTACAAGGACGCACCCCAGGTGAAGAGTACGCCGGCAAATATTCGTTATTTCGAGTTGAGCAACCTGGATCGCAATGCCGAGTATCAGGTTAAGATTGCGGCCATGACGGTCAACGGTTCGGGTCCATTTACGGAATGGCATCGTGCCAATACATTGGAAAACGATCTCGACGAGACCCAAGTGCCGGGCAAACCGATATGGATTAACATTCACCCCGGAGCCGATAACATAGCACTGCACTGGGGTCCCCCACAGCAGCCGGAGATTAAGATACGGAACTATGTGCTGGGCTGGGGTCGCGGCATTCCCGATGAGAACACCATCGAACTGAAGGAAACGGAACGCTATCACATTCTCAAGAATCTGGAGCCCAATATGGAGTATGTGGTTTCGCTGCGGGCGAGGAACGTTAAAGGAGACGGTGTACCCATCTACGATAACATAAAGACACGCGACGAGGAACCTGTGGATGCACCCACACCGCTGGAGGTGCCCGTAGGCCTGCGCGCCATAACCATGTCCAGCTCCTCCATTGTTGTCTACTGGATTGACACGATGCTGAATAAGAACCAGCATGTGACGGACAATCGTCACTATACGGTTAGCTATGGCATCACAGGATCCAGTCGCTATCGCTACCACAACACCACCGATCTGAATTGCATGATTAACGATCTGCGGCCCAACACGCAGTATGAGTTTGCTGTGAAGGTGGTCAAGGGTCGACGAGAGTCGTCTTGGTCCATGTCCGTGCTGAATCAAACGTATCAGAATGTACCGGTCACGCCGCCTCGAGAGGTCACGGTACGCTTGGACGAGCAAAATCCACCCACAGTCATCATCCAGTGGATGCCGCCGAAGCACACAGTGGGTCAGATCACTGGATACAACATCTACTACACCACAGACACCACGAAGCGAGATCGTGACTGGTCCATTGAGGCGTTTGCTGGCGAAGAGACCTCGCTGATGCTGCCCAACCTGAAGCCCTACACAACCTACTACTTTAAGGTTCAGGCACGGACGACTAAGGGCAGCAATAATGCTCCTTTCTCGGCACTGGTGTCCTACACCACCAGTGCGGCAGTCATTATGCAGGAGGCGGACACCATAGCCAAGGGAATTGACAACGAGAAGCTACTGTACATCATAGTTGGAGCCACTGCCGTGGTGCTAGTGGTGGTTCTCTTGGGCATTCTGCTGCTATGCCGCCGTAAGCCGCAATCTTCGCCCGAGCATACCAAGAAGAGGTGAGATTACAAAGTTTAGCCTATGATTTATTCCTATTTATTAATGTTTGTGTTTTCCTTGGTTTTTAGTTACCAAAAGAACAATGTGGGAGTACCGAAGCCCCCAGATCTCTGGATACATCATGACCAAATGGAGCTGAAAAACATTGACAAGGGTTTGCACACCGTGACGCCAGTTTGCAGCGATGGAGCTTCAAGCAGTGGTGCCCTTACCCTGCCACGCTCAGTGGTTCACAGCGAATACGAGGTGGAGACACCAGTTCCACCCCATGTGACCAATTCGCTGGACAAGCGTTCCTACGTGCCGGGATATATGAGTGAGTAGCAGGAGCAGCCTAAGCAGACCAGTAACTAAACCTTTTACGTACATCATTTACAGCCACCTCGATGAATGGAACAATGGAGCGACCACAATATCCGCGCACTCAGTACAGCCATCAGAACCGATCCCACATGACCATGGAGGCGGGCCTGTCCCAGCAGAGCCTCACCCAGCCGCAGAGCAGTTCTATGGCCCAGACGCCCGAGCACCCCTACGGCGGCTACGATGCCAACTTCTGGTGAGTTTAGTGGGCGGTGCTTTCATTAGGCTTTCAATATTTAGCTTTCCGACAGTTTAGTGCTAGACATTCAACAAAATTCCCAAAAAAAAAGTCCCCCTCGATTTTATTCCCCGTTTTATTTTTTGTTCTCTTTGGCAAACCGAAAGCTGCTGCTAAACAGCAAGACTTTGAAAGTAGAATGTGTTCGAGGACGCGTTGGGGGCGGATCGATCCCAGTATCCAGGTTACTTTGGTGAATGGGACGACGGGAAAGGTGATCAGGCTAAACAGGACAACGCTGCCGCGACGGGTGGAAAGACAGCTGCTGCTCATGGCCTCGACGTCGCCGTTCCTCAACTTCATAAACAAGTTCCGCCTGGACGAGATACTGATTAACCATCATTACAAGGGCGTCTACAGCATGCGTACCGCGGCCACCGTTACCGAACTGGCGGCCTACACGTGGAACGCCATGTCCGTTGGCGATCGCCAGCCATATGTCCGGCTGGCCCGGAAGGCGCAGCAGATACAGCAGGCGCGGCAGCTGCACTTTCTGGGCACCTGTAGCCGGCCAGTGATAAAGCGGGGTTCCCTCTGTCCCATTGTTGTTCAAAGCAGTCTCGGCGAAATGTTGGCCCTTGTCTAGGAGCATTTTGAAAAGTCTTTTAATAAATCTATTCTCCTTTCTAATTGCGGGCATTGTTTTTGATTTTGTTTTCTAGCAATGCGGGCAATGGAGCAGCTGGTGGCAATGGCTGTGTATCCACCATCGAGAGTGCCAAGCGTGGGCATCCGCTGAAGAGTTTCAGTGTGCCGGGACCACCGCCCACAGGCGGAGCAACGCCCATTAATAAACACAGTGAGTAGACTATAAAAACTTTAAATTTAAATACCTTGATGTCACTTACTAAACTCGATGACTTATCCACAGCTCCTGCAGTCACAATACGTCCGCAAAACCAATCGCCCTACAAGAAACCATCGTTCTCGGCAGCCACACCGAATCGCTTGCAAAGCGGCGGCTCGGTGGCCCACTCAACCGATGAGATTCAAAGACTGGCCCCCAGCACATCCACCGAGGAGCTCAACCAGGAGATGGCCAATCTGGAGGGGTTGATGAAGGATCTAAGCGCTATTACGGCGAACGAATTCGAGTGTTAACCGGCAGGCAGAAAGCCGGGCTGGCTGAAAGTATTAGTCATCGTCAAACAATGGATGTTACTTGTTTTTTAGTTTCTGTTTTTATATTGAGTTAACTCGAATTTGTGAACCGCATTAACCGCAACCGACTTGAATTGAGTTAAGTTACCTTACCCTACCCTGCACCCGGTAGGAGGTCCATTTAGTTTTTAGTTAATCAAATGTGCGATATATTAATGTAAATACGAACGAAGCCGCCATATACTTTTTGTAAGTCTAGATACCCACATTTATACCTATAAATATAGCACCTAAGCCTAGTTAATTATCGGATAAGGAAGGGAGAGTGTAAAAACGAGGAAATAGAACAGATTAGACATCAGAGGAAGAGGAAGGAGCCTTCTGTCTCTGAGCTGCCACACAAGACATTTCATACTTACCACACACTTGCATCAACATCTTAATTTCGTAGTCTAAGTCTATCATACATATGCCATTCTATATACATATGCGAACAGCAACTAAGCTAAGTTTCATACTAGTAAAGACCCTAAGAACGTACTTCTACTGCTACTTACTATATAATCCCCACAAACAATCAAAAAACAATTCAATCTAGACTTGCGCCTCTTAAAGTGTTCTTTCCTCTGTTTGTTTTTAAACCCTCACACGCATGACTTGGATACGTGCCATTCAAATACAAGCCCCACGCAATTACTTAAGCCATAAAGTCAAGTTGTAGACTGTAAGCCAGCAAAGCATTTACGATTTAAACTAAATACTATTGATTAATGCCACAAATGAAAACTTTTTTAAAAGATTTTGATGTGTTCAAAATGTTGATTGCCAAGAAAGTTTACTAATTTTATTTGTTGAGCGTTCCATGGCTCTCTGTATTCAACAATGCTTTGCACAATAATGCCATTAACTCAGCAACAAATTTAAAAATAATACAAGAGCAAAGGGAAATGCATATGAAAATTGTGTCATTTTTAATGTGTACCGAACGTAAAATTTTGTAATCAAAAGTGAAATTTGCTAAATATATAAAGAATATGTGAAAGAAAATCTGTTAGGTTAATTTTAAATTTTTGAATATTTTTCAGACTGCTAAAGTTCCTCGCGCTCAAAAAAGCAGCTAACCTGAACCCTCCAGATCTTGTCGGTGGCAAAACGCAGTTCTACCTTGTAGTTACCCTGCGGCAGGGGCAGGTTTTTCAGGAATTCATCATCAAACTCCAAATTATCCAAAATTATATCGTGCTGTATAAACAAGGAAGAATTCTGATAAATATATCTTAAATTTATGGTATTTTTATACTTACATCGTAGGGGCAAGTGTGATTTAAATTGGATTTAGTCATAATTGCATTGATGACGAGTCCTTGGAAAGATAAGACTTTGGAGTTCCCCATAAGCTGGCAGAAATCGGTACTGACATTATACAAAAATGGTCGAAATCCATTGTACCGACGATATATGCTCCAATTAATCTGAAAATAAGATGAATTATTTATTGAAGATAATATTAAAGAAGAATAGGTCGATGCTCACCCAACAATTGTCGATCGGCAGTTGTAAGAGTTTCAAATACATTTCGGCACCCGTTCGTCCTCTTCCAAGTAAATTGAGCTTACACTTGGTGAAAACGGCAAAGGATTCGTTAAAGGATATGCACTGCATGTTGGTGAATCTGGACCTGGAGCGACGACCGTCGCCTATCCTTAATTCGCCGCTTAACAAGATAACTACGGCTATTAAAAGCCATCTCTCGGACACAAGTGCTACCATCTCTGTCTAGTGACTAACTGATTGGCTAAACGATGACTGACATTTAAAATAAATTAGCGGCGAACCATTAGCCGAAGTTAGGTTGATGTTTGCGTTGGGTTAATAACCTTAATTACAAACTAGGTGTAATAACGAACAGGAAATATATTGATACATATAATAATTGATTAATATCTATGTTATGATGAGGGACAACAAAAGGGTTACATTTTAATATAATTTTCTCGATATTCCATTTACACACAAAAAAATAAATAAATCTATTAGTCGAGGGCGTACCTTATGGAGTCCGAGATGCCTTTATCTGCCTGTTGCATCCACTCTCGGTTGAAACGAATAAACTTAACTTGGAATATAAACATATCGGCAATTCAAACTATATTTTTAAAAATAAAACAAAATAATTCAACTCAAAAATATACTATAACTAAAGGTAATCCAGATCGTCATCTGTATGTGGTTATCTTGCCACCAATTTAGTGCATTTTCCTTAAGGAGAAACATCATTGCTTTTTCTTTTATTCGATCTAGGAATTCCTTCGGATTTCCGAATCCGTCGAACTCCAGGCACCATCCCCGGATAATATTGGATGGCCGTTCTGCCATTTGCTGTCTACATTTAAGACCGGGAATTTTGAATTACTGTTTGAGTTAAAAGCTCTCCGGTGGCCTATCGATATTCGATAGATTAGTCAATCGATTAAGTTTTGCAAAATCGGACCCATTGCTGGAATAGATGGTGCGCTTTTTAAAAAAGGATTGTCTCCTGTGATATTACATTATGTACTATTTAATTCGAATTTAAACCAATATAATAATAATTATTTCAAACATAGCTTTTGAAAATCCATAAGTAAGTAAACAAATCGTTATTTTCAGTTTTGGATATTATTTCCATTGCTATTAATTCATTAGGTAATAAATCTGCATATGGGAATAAAAATTATGGTTCTTTTTTACAAATATAAATACTCAAATAGTTTTAAAAAAAAATTGAAATAGGGTTCAAGTAAAAGATTTGAAACCGATATTTATTGATATTTTATATGATGCATTTTTAACAAATCAAAGTTTAAAAAAACCACAACTAAGTCATAAACCCATTAATTTCAATTCAAAAAGCTGTTCTGTGTTAGTTTTTATTAGCTTGATAAAACTGCAAAAAAGAATTTAACATTTTTTTTAATTTCATTTTTTTTTTCGAATTTTTAAAAATTTTATTGATGTAATCCCTTTTAAAATTTTGAAAAATTGGTCAAGTTATTGAACATCATTTTATATTTAACGGATTACGATTTAATGGCGAATAGGAATATACAAGAATTTTGGCTATACGTTGATTTTTTGACATTTTTTGCCCTCAAGAAGAACGAAAATATTTACATTCTTTTAATCTGTACCTTAATCAATAAGACTTAAAACATATCTTTACCAGAAATAGCTCACGAAGTTTATTCAGTACCAAAAACGGAATATTAAAGAGCACGTAAAAGCACTTTGAAAACAACAGAGAGCCACAGCAGAGCGGGAACTTGATTATATCGGACTGCAGCCAAGCAGTTTGTTTGGATCGGTGGAGCTGGGGGACCTGCCAGTGTAGTTTGTGCCAGCGTTCGGTGTGGAGCTCGATTGCTGTTCCCGCTGGAATCCACTTTCGGTGCCTCGCGACTGTGTGTGCGTTAAGTCAACGTCACAGCTCTAGACAATTGGAAATCGAGGCATAAAACTAGTGAAATCTGATTTGAATTTAAATTACCAAGCTTTTGTTATTGCTGACTCTCGCGCACGGCCCCAAAATGAACAAACTTCCCATGCAGGCCTGGCGTTTTACAGCCGTCACCTCGGGTCAGAATCTGCGACGAAGTGTGTCCAAGATCGGTGGGTCAACCAGCAGCAGCATCTTGCCACACGAAAAGCGTCGCGAAAGCTCCACGGGCGTAGCCACCTGTCCACACCTGGCGGATCAAGAGGAAAGCGAACCCAATGCCTCCCGCATACACTCAACGGCCGAGTGGCAGAATGCCCTGCCCTACAGTCAGATACCAGGACCGAAGCCCATACCCATCCTGGGCAACACCTGGAGGTACACGAACGCACACTCAATGGCTTCTATAAAAAACGAAATCGAAAGACTCAAGACACAAACTCGCTTTCTCTCATGAAGCGAATTGCAATGGCAGTGTGCAGGCCACACTCTCCGTCTCACTTGACCCAATTAGGAAGAGTCTTCAGCTCTTGTTTGACAATTATTGAATTAGCGACGATGATGATGATGTTGGTATTTATGACCGCTTATTGGCTTAGGCTTTGTGTGCAAAAATAAAACACGCACTCTTCACAGAAAACAAGTTTTTTCTCCATTTACCCCTCCCTAGTTGAGTATGCTAAGTAAATATTTACGAGCATCTCGAATAGCAGAGATTCTCTAACGATTCTGGTTAAATGTGCCTGTGGGATTCCGGCAATTTACACCTGCATAATTCTCTCCCCTCAACCTGTGGGGGCAGCACGTCATCTGCTTGATTAGCGTTCAATTAGCAGCGTATTCAAGGTCATCATAGTAATGTGTGAAATTTGGCTGCACGCTGACGAATTTTGCTCACAAATCGCTATTTGCTCGCCTTTGGCGGAAAGTCAGTGTCACAGAGCCATCTTAGTTTAACCTTGATTAATCCGCACTATGTCCTCCTTAGACTGATGCCAATAATTGGTCAATACACCATCTCGGATGTGGCCAACATATCGTCGCTGCTGCACGAGCGTTACGGCAGAATTGTGCGTTTTGGAGGCCTCATTGGAAGGCCCGATCTATTGTTCATCTACGATGCCGACGAAATTGAAAAGGTAAGCTTAAGCGGCGGCACCTTAGCACCGTCGGTAGCTGGGACTTTCCGCTTGACCAACGAACCACGAAGGCACCAAAGCACTACGTCAATTTCTGGCACTGTACAAATTACCCGGCACTTTTCAGTAGCTTGGTTTAAAGCCAGTAATTTGATGAATTTTCAATCATTTTCAGTGCTACCGAAGCGAGGGACCCACTCCCTTTCGGCCCTCGATGCCTAGCCTGGTCAAGTACAAGAGCGTAGTGCGCAAGGACTTTTTCGGAGAGCTCGGAGGAGTGGTTGGAGTGTGGGTATAGGTCTTAGCTAAGCAGTGCCATTTAGTAAACATATTCCTCCTTTAGCCACGGCGAGCCCTGGCGTCAGTTCCGTTCACGTGTCCAGAAACCAGTTCTGCAGCTATCCACCATTAGACGCTATCTCCAGCCCCTGGAAGTAATCACCGAGGACTTTCTGGTGCGCTGTGAACAACTGTTGGATGAAAACGAAGAGCTGCCCGAGGATTTCGATAATGAGATTCACAAATGGTCCCTAGAATGTGAGTAAATCTTTAAAATGTTCTTCACTTTTACTAATACTTATCTATATTTAATGATCAGGCATTGGTCGCGTGGCTCTGGACACTCGTTTGGGGTGCCTGGAATCGAATCTCAAACCGGACTCGGAGCCCCAGCAGATTATCGATGCGGCCAAGTATGCCTTGCGCAATGTCGCCACCTTGGAGCTAAAGGCTCCCTACTGGCGATACTTCCCCACTCCACTGTGGACGCGCTACGTGAAGAACATGAACTTCTTTGTGGGGTAAATACATTTAATTAGTAAATATATACTTATATACAATGGGAATAATTCCGTCGTTATCATACAGAGTCTGTATGAAGTACATACAGAGTGCCACCGAAAGACTCAAGACCCAGGATCCCAGCCTGCGTGCTGGAGAACCCTCGCTGGTGGAGAAGGTGATTCTCTCGGAGAAGGACGAGAAAATAGCCACCATAATGGCTCTTGATTTGATTCTAGTCGGCATAGATACTGTGAGTTTAAACAAATCTATATTATTACGAGAAAATACCGGTTAAAACTTCCTTTCAGATATCCATGGCTGTGTGCTCGATGCTCTATCAACTGGCCACACGTCCCGAGGAACAGCAAAAGGTGCACGAGGAGCTGAAGCGCCTGCTGCCGGATGCCAACACACCACTGACCATTCCTCTCCTCGATCAAATGCACCACCTGAAGGCCTTCATCAAGGAGGTCTTCCGCATGTACAGCACAGTGATTGGGAACGGGCGCACCTTGATGGAGGACAGCGTGATCTGTGGCTATCAGGTGCCCAAGGGCGTCCAGGCCGTATTCCCTACCATTGTTACCGGCAATATGGAGGAGTATGTTACAGATGCAGCCACCTTCCGGCCAGAGAGGTGGTTGAAGCCCCAACACGGCGGAGTGCCCGGCAAACTGCACCCGTTCGCCTCGCTACCCTACGGCTATGGAGCCCGGATGTGCCTGGGTCGTCGGTTCGCCGATCTGGAAATGCAGATACTGCTGGCTAAGTTGCTACGCAACTACAAGCTGGAATACAATCACAAGCCTTTGGATTACGCCGTAACCTTCATGTATGCGCCTGATGGACCACTTCGATTCAAGATGACGAGAATTTAGCTTTAGGTTTACATACATTTTTTACACCTTCTAGTTTGTTGTAAATAAAATAGTGAATAAAAATATAAAGCAAGATTTTACCTTCTATTTTACAGCGCCTTTATTTACGTTTATACATTCTGTACCAATTCTTCACGGTCTTCAGGCAATTGTCGGCATCCGCCTTTGTTTCATTGCAGAGCTTGAAGACCTTATCTTCTTTATAGGAATCATAAGCCTCTTCCAGAATAGTTGCAAAGATTTCACACTCAATGTTCGATTTCAGCTTCTTTTCGTTGTATTGGCGAACTTTGAGGCGATCGAACAGCGTTGTGTTGGGGCAAGTGACCACGAAAACGGCTTCGAACCAGCGCTCTGGGAAAAAATCGCAGCCGTGATACTCCAAAATGTTGCCCCCCTTCGCCATAATGGGTTCCAGGTGATCCAATAGCTTAATATTTGAACATTTATAGTATTTGTTGATAGGGTTAGAGCGGGGGGCTTACCTTATCCTCATCAAGAATGGGACAGTCGTACTCAGCGTCGTATTCCTCCACAAAATCATTATCTTTGGCAATTTTCGAGCAGTCCAGCCATTTGAATTTTAGTTGTTCAGCCAGGCGTTCGCAAAGGTAGGATTTGCCAACTCCAGGTGTGCCTAATATTTAACAAATTCATCAACAAACTGAAGAACCACTTGCGGCTATTATATACATACATACCTGTTATTAATATATTTGGCTCTGCATCTGGTGACTGTTCCATGTTGCTTTTCTGATGTATTACTAGCAACCTAGGCGTCCGAATTATGCAAATATTTGATTGCAGTTGTTAAATCGTCAAGTGCACGTGCAAAAAGAATTGTTTATGTTCACGAGGAGCTGCCGCATTTCGTGTCTGCCCTGTCAAGCTGCCAACTCGTGTCAGTGGAGGTCAGGTCTGCCAACCTGGTCGAGATCTTATTTCCATGTATTCTGCTTCCATGGCGCAAAAAGCTAAGAAATTTTAAATGCTTGCTTGAATTCTAAAAAACAAAATTAATAATAAGGCGAAAAATAAATAATTTATTATATTAGCACCTTTCGGATGCAACCACTTCGAATAAGGTTAGCATGACCGACGTCTTTTTTGTCTCCCATCCAACTATCTTCGTTTCGACAAGTACCGTTGCTTTTTCCTTATTCTCTCTTTCCGTCCGTCCTTGCGCCGACAACTTACGAACAGAATTGTATCTCTTCCTCTGCTTCTGCGCCTGTTCTTTTCGTTCGCTAATCTCCGAAAGTGCAGTCGACTTTTTGAAGAAAAATGTCAGCGAACGGGTCCGATGCGAACAAGGAGGAGGAAAAGCGCCAGCATGTGCCGTACATTCTCAACGGGGAGCTCTACCGCATCGAAAATCAGGTGGGGGATAACGTCACGGTTAAGTGCTGCTACTGTCCGCCGGATCGGATTTATCGCGGCAGCGTACGTTCCACCGGGAATTTTCACATGCACATCAAGGTAGGCTATACAACCATTTGAGAGATTGCTCTGGTTTTCTCATTATTTTTCGTGTTTCCTTGAGCAGCGGCGGCACAGTTCCCTCCTCGGAAAATTACATGAAATGAAGGTTGCTGCTCTGGAGGAGCGCCGTGATCGCATCATGAAGAACCGACGTTGCGTCAAGGAGCGAAAGAAGACCACAACACCGCCACCGAGCATGGCTGCGCAGACCCCGCCGCAGTTGCAAGAGCTTGCGTCCCCGGCGGGCGTAGGAACTGGGACCCACGAGCTGAAAATCAAAACCGTGTTTCAGCGCCACAAGCAGGAGCAACAGGGTGCAGCCACCAGATCGGTAAGCGTGGGAGTGGGACAAGAGATAACCACCTTGCAGGTACCGTTAGAACAGCGCCACAGTATCTTCTTGCATTTCGAAGAAATATAGCTCAATGAAGGAGAACTTTTTTATGCAGTTGTTCGTGTATTTGTGCTTTGACATATTCGTATACATATGTATGTACCTGTGTGTTTGAATGTATATTTATCTCTTTCTAGTCCGGAGATTCGACTTCAGATATCAGCGACATAGCGAACTCACCGAATATTGCTGCCAACAGTACAGGTTTTTTGCGTCAGGATGTGAGTAGATAAAATAAGTAAAGGGTACTAAAATAAGAAGAAAATACTTAATTCTTGTATTTATGATTTGTTAAAATTTTTATTGAAAAAGTTAATTTTATATTTATAGCAAATTCTTTGAAAATCAGTATATTTTTAAGATTACCAAAATTATTTTCAGCGCTCTAATACGTCTGTGGCTGCCAATTCCATTTCTACACCAACTGTCCCTATTTTGACCCCAATCAAGCCAGAGGGCCCAAGTGTGTCCTCCTCATTTCCGGTAGAGCAACCCGTGGCCATTGATCTGCGCCGGGCTCCATCCCTACAGAGCGGGAGCAGCTCACTATCCTCACTGGAGGACAGTTCCATGGAGTACACAACCACCGAGGCCGTCACCCAATCGTTGTCCCTGACCCATTTCATGGGGCAACCACAGCAGGATCTCCTGCAGAGCCTGAATCGCACAATGGCCGTGATCGGGCAGGAGCTGCACTGCCGCAACCGAATCGAGCACAATCGCTTGCTGCTGGAGGCGGCCAAGTTCAAGTATCTCAACCCGAACTTTCACTTTGAACCCACTCTATAGAGTAGGTGGCGGTGCTAAATCTAAATACTACGACTCCTTTGTGCCTTTTCTTAGAAATAAAGTGGCCTAAAACCAGTTAAATGCATTCGTTAATTTTCATTTTTGAAAATCGGCGACCAAAAGCTGAAGACGCTGGCCACACTCTTGACAATTTTGCGCTGACCACGGATGGTCACACTCTAATTGGCTTTGTTCTCTTTTTATTTTGTTGTTTTCGCCCATGTTTTGTCAATATTGTTTAGAATAATGGACGATAAGAGGACATTAATTCGCTTGGACGAGGAAACTAGCGAGGATGAAGATCCGGCCGTGCCCAAAAGTATACCGAGAGCTGGGCCCAAGCCCATCGAAACTTTCGGCGAAACCCGCAGCGAAGAGATGCCCTCAACTAGCTCCTCAAGCGGAGCGGCGCATATTTCGGGGAATCACCAAAATGAGCCGGAAAACGATCTGCCGCCTTTATTAGGAAACAATGATCAGCCTCCCCCAGTTAATGTAAGTTTAAGAGTAGGTTTAACCACCAATGACTCATCACCATTTGTGTTGTACCAGTGCAGCTTATCTGTAGACGGCTAAGTACTTATGTATATTAGTAATTAAATTTAATTGCCTTTTAGACAATAAATGGAAGCGCAGGCAGTGCAAGGAACCACATCAATGATTCCGAGCCTATTTTTCATCTGAGGTCCCGGACTGCAGCGGCTTCCACACCCAATTACGAGGTATGTATTAGTGGGCGGCAGCGGAATGGATTAGTGACTGATCAGAGGGCTTATCTTGAACTCCTCCGTTCACAGAGCTTGGACTATGAAGTGTGCGAGAACACGCTGTTTCAAGACGAGCAGCGCAGGCGGCTGAGGGAACCTTTCTCTCTGCGCAAAGACATCATCCGTTGGATAATCTTCATCCAAATTGGCATTATCACGGCCCTTATAGCCTGCACCATAGATATTATCATTGAAGAGCTTTCGGAACTGAAGTACAACTTCCTCAAAGAGTGTAAGCACTCCACCTAAAATACTTTTTATGTTCTGCAACTAATTCCTAATTTCAGCTGTTGCCGACAACGTTCCACTTAGTGATGCCACCGGTCGCGATCTGGTGATTCCCTTCCTGTACTGGATCTTGTTGAGCATCCTACCAGTAGCCTTTGGAGCTGCCATGGTGACCTACATTGAGCCCATAACCGCCGGCAGTGGTATTCCGCAGGTGAAGAGCTACCTAAACGGTGTTAAAATTCCACGAATTGTTCGCATTAAAACGCTGGCGGTGAAGGCCATCGGCGTGATAACATCCGTGGTGGGTGGATTGGCCGGCGGAAAGGAGGGTCCAATGATTCATGCTGGTGCCGTGGTGGCTGCTGGCATCTCGCAGGGCAAGAGCACCACTTTCGTAAAGGATTTCCGTGTGTTTAAGGCCTTTCGCGATGATCACGAGAAGCGCGACTTTGTCCTGGGAGGAGGAGCTGCCGGAGTTTCAGCCGCCTTCGGAGCCCCCATCGGAGGCATGCTTTTTTCGCTGGAAGAGGCGGCCAGCTTCTGGAACCAGAATCTCATATGGCGCACCCTGGTGGCCTCCATTATCAGTGTGTTCACTCTGAATATTGTTCTGTCGGCATATCACGGCCTAAACGATTTTACATTCACGGGTCTCTTCAATTTGGGCAAGTTCGATCAGCCACTAAAGTTCGACTACTTTGAGCTACCGATCTTCATGATTCTGGGTGTGACCGGAGGGTTGCTTGGTGCCGCCTGGAACTCGCTAAATACCAAGATTAATAACTTTAGGAAACGCTTCATTCCCTGGAAGTTTGCCAAGGTAATCGAAGCTGTTGTTGTGGCCATGTTGGGCGTAACACTGGCTTGTTTGATGATTTACTTCATCAATGATTGCCGGCCACTGGGCAATGATCCCACCATACATCCCGTTCAGCTTTTTTGCGAGGATAATGAGTATAATGCTGTGGCTGCCCTGTGGTTTCAAACGCCGGAAGCAACGGTTCGATCGCTGTTCCACGATCCTCCAGGTGAGTGATAGGAAAAAGATTTAATGCATATATTAAAATCTCTTAATTTATTTCAGGATCCCACAAAATCCTCACTTTGGCCATGTTCACTCTTGTGTACTATGTTTTATCGTGTGCCACCTTTGGCCTCAATGTCTCCTTGGGCGTATTCATTCCCACTGCTCTTGTTGGAGCAGCCTGGGGTCGTCTTTTGGCAATGGTTACATTCTACCTATTCCCGGAGGCGGTATGTGTGACAGCTCTGTATTATTATATGAGAAAATAACAACTTCGTATGCATTTCAGGAATTCCTGCATCCTGGTAAATATGCTTTGATCGGAGCAGCGGCCAATTTGGGCGGAGTTCTCCGCATGACCATCAGCTTGTCGGTTATCCTGATGGAAACAACTGGCATCGAAAGTTCCTTCTTCTTTCCGCTCATCATAGCACTAATCACCGCCAAGTGGGTCGGTGACTACTTCAACGAGGGCATCTACGACACCCAAATCCAAGTGAATCATGTACCAATGCTGCCTTGGGAGCCGCTGCCCCAGTACATGGGTCTGACAGCCAAAGAAATCATGAGCGGTCCTGTTGTTTGCATCAAGCTTCGTGATAGCGCCCACTACATATACAAGGTGCTGAAGAAATGCGACCACAATGGCTTCCCCGTTGTGGATAATGTGATCGGCGTGAGTATATATAGGAAATGTTATATTATTAATTAAATTAATTTGATATATTTACTTTTTAAATAGGATCGTCGGTCGGAGGGACGCGTCTGTGGTATCATCTTGCGTTCCCAGCTAATTGTCATCTTGTTAAAATCGTTGTACGTGGAAAACAAGCGATTCTGGCTGCCGGAAACATCTATACAGACCTTCAGAGATGTATATCCAAGATATCCATCAATTAAGGTAATTAGTCAGGATGGGTTAAAGGAGACTTTCGCTTTGTTACGATATTAAAATCAATTTGTTAATCGTCTTCTCTCAGAGCGTTCGCAAGCTGGACGATAAAATCAACTACACTGTAGACCTGGCCATGTTCATGAACCCATCACCAGTACGCGTCAATCCGGTTAGTCATTGTGAAGCCATTACAAATATTTATAAAATTTAATCACCATTTGTATTTCCAGCACGATTCGGTGCCCAGGATTTTCCAGATATTCCGCGCCTTGGGTCTGCGTCACTTGCTGGTCATCAACAATGAAAATCGGATCGCAGGCATAATAACACGAAGAGACTTCATCTACAAGTGACTTCCATGCATAGAATGCAGTTAAGAAAAAGTATATCGAATGTCAAGTAAATAAATATTTTCTATATCTTTGTATGTGCTGTCCCACGTTAAGTTCACTCACAACACGTACAACAATTCACTTTTGATAAACTCTTCGTTTTAATCTGCGCTCATTACGTTTTTACAACTTAAATGTAGGTGAACTTAAGCGCGTAAATTGTAATTAATAGGTATTCACAAGGAATTGTACAAGGTTTGTGTGGGTTTGTTTTGTTTCGGTTGTATAAAAATACGCTGTTACAGTTAAAAGTAAAGGTTAAAGGTAAAGGGCTTGATGTTTATAAAATCTTACTTGGCTAACAGACATGTTCTGTATAGTAAATATTAGCACAACTGTCACTCGTTCAAAATATATGCTTCTGACTTTTATGGGACTTGCGATTGCATGTTAAGGTATGTGTTTTGTGTTCTTACACCCTAAAACTAAAAGCGCATCGAAAAAACAAGAAGCGCTGCCGTGTACGTGCACTGTAAACCTAAAAGCTATGCAAAAAGTTAGCCTATACAAATTCTTATTTAGGAGCAAAACGCCTAAAATTAAATGACTTTTTGTACAATATGAAAGGGAGCTTTCTTTTGATCAAATGTCCCATGCCTAATGCCAAGTCGATGTTGTGTTCGGTCGGTATAGCTGCAATCTCGATTGACCGCGTCCAGGAACTGGTATCACATTTAAAAACACAAACTTTCCATCGAATGCAGGCGTCTTCACTGTCTATATCGTCATGTGAATGCATCTGACCAAGCAGCCGCTACTGGTTAGCTCTCCATGGGTCGCACCTGTTGCAGTGCCTCTGCATTATTTGTGGTTGCCGCAGCTGCTGCTGCAGCGCTATTGCAATGTTGCTGCTGCTGCTGGGGCGTTGCATTGGTCGGGGTGGTCGTTGAGTCCGCGCTCAAAATGCTGCTGCCGCTGCTGCTGTTTCCAATGGGATGGCCTGAACCCGAGCTTGACGACACCGCTGAGGATGCCAATGCAGCATTAGCTACGGGCGTCGTCGCGCCTTGCGTTGTGCAGTTGTTGGTTGCTGCTGCTCCGCCACTCATCAATCCACCGCCAGCGCTGCTCTGCACCACCTTGTATCGGTTGTAGATGCGATACGGCGTTTTGGAGGTATCCTTCTGCGGCACCGTCTTGGTCTTGCTGGCCGCTCCCCAGCTGCTGGCGTTAATCTGATCAGGTGTTTTGCCCAGCAGCCAGTCAATGCAGTTCTGTTGAAGCTGCTCGCTCACGTGCTGCTGCAGCCACTTATTGACAAAGGTCTGGAAGTGAGTGTACTTTGCCTGGGTGACGCGGTAGTGACTCTGTGGTAAGACGAATTAGGATTAGAAATTTCAATTTTATATAGTTTCAACCGTAGCTCACCTTCTTGGCACGACGCACTGCATCGTATTTGAGTAGCTTGAGATTCTTGCTGGTCACAAAGCAACGCCCGTTGCTGGGGTTCGTGCTGATCTCGTCGCGATCGTTGAAGGCGTACTGCTCGGCCAGGCCCACCTGTGGGGCGCCGAGTCTCTCCGGCAGCCGCTTGCCGCCGCCCCAGCTGTTGTTGTTGATATTATTATTGTTATTATTATTATTATTGCTGCCGGGTGCCAAGGTGCCGCCGCTGCTGCTGCTGCTGGAAATAGTATCGCCAGAACCGGGCGCGCCCGTGTCATTTGCCGGTGCTGTAGTCGATGCCAGCTCAGTGCGATTCCGCTTCTGTTCAAACAACTGACGCACTTGCTCCTCGTGCAGCTGCGACCGGCGCTTGTTGCGCAGCAAAAAGCGCGCCTTACGAACTCCTCCACCGATACCGCATCCCCTGTGGCCCAGCTGCAATGAGAATAATGCAAGAGAGTCAGACTTTTATTGTGCATAATTGCGCCAATTGCCGTAGCAATTGAATCGGCGGCAATACTCAGACATGCTCACAGAGAGTTTACGAGATTACGCTAAAAAGCTGGTTACTGCGCTGTCTTTGTGTGTGGGAGGACGTGTAACATTACAAAACAGATAGACGACATATATATGTGGAACAACGCAACATGACAAGGTACAGAGTAAACCAAGGATGATGATGTTGGTGGTGGAGTAGGATGAGGTGGACTTATTAGTACCAGGCCAAACATGAACGGGCAAAGGGGGAAAACGGGATCAAAACACCTAAACACATGTACACAAAACAAAACGAAAAGCTTAGGGAAAAAAGGGAACTTAATAGAGAGAGAGAGAGAATTCTACAATGCGATGACTCACTTACCTTGCTTAAGCTTAGGTCTGCTCTAACCCCGAGAGAATCCCCCTCCCCCCCCCCCAAACGCCCACAATTCCCACCCACTCGCTTTCAGTAACTTCCAATATGCATATATATATGACTTTTTAATGGGCTGCTGCTGCTGGCTCCAGATATATATTTCTCAATTTCATTCTCCAGTAATGTCCACAACATTTGTGATTGTGTTTGTGTTTGTGTGTGTTAGCTAGGTTAATTTACATTTATCTCGAGTTCGTGTGTGTGTTCTTATTGCCTAGATATAAAAATTATGACCGAATTTAAAAAAGACATTTGGCTTGGCTGCTGCTTCCTTTACAAAATTAGCTACTAATCTCGTTTACACAATAATACATACATAGGCCAAAGGCATATAAAGAATAAGATGCGTAACGACATAGGAAAATACGATGTGATAATACGTTCTCTTTAAATTATTGAAGAAACTCTCTATTTTTCTCATTTTATTTTTACGATATATGGTACAGAATCCTGATTTATTGACTCAATCGAATTTGCTGTCCAATTTGTGCCAGCGAAGGGGACACTATTTTAGCTGCTACCAGAAACTCAACTATTTAATGCTATGCTTGTTACTCATCTTATTATTTACATTCCTTTTCATAATTACCACTGTTTAGCATTACGTTATGTACAGTTAAAAACACGTCAATTCATCATATATACATACTCAACGCTCGCCACTAGCCACTATAGCCACACAACATCCCAGAAACACACACCATAACCCACTACTATTGATCCTGCTTGCTCCTGTGATTCTCTCCATCGCTATATATATATACATACATATATATATAGAAACAACTCAAGGCAATAAGAAAATTAGAGGGGTATATATATATATATGCAACAAGCGCGTGCCGCGTGCCTACTTTAGTTAAACTGTTAATAACTATTTTACAATAAATGTTTGATCTTATTGTGGATTGTGGTTTGTATTTTTACTACTACATTTAATTGAGGTGAGCGCATTTTATGGGGTTTTGTTTCCTCGTTTTGAGCTATTGTTATTGTTTACATTCAATGTGTGTGTGTGTGTGTTTGTATGAAAGGTGTGTGAGAGTGAAAGGGGTGTTTCGTGGGTGGTTGTGGCGGTTGGCGCGTGAGGTGAAGAAGGTGTTTCGGTTTGTTCATATTTTCTTGGTTTTTTTTTCTTTTGGGTAATCATAAAAACAAACAAATTCATTTCTTGTTGTTATTACTATTTCATTTTGCAATATGACTTTTTCTTCTGCTTATTATTCAATGAAATTATCAAAACTATGTTATTTCAAGCCTTGGAATTGACCTGGTACGAAATAAATAAATTGGAATAAAAAATGAGAGAAAAAGAATGCAAAAAAGCATTTAATTAGTGAGATATTTTCTTGTTTTCTTTTCATGTATTTAAGTTAGTTGCTTCGTATGCAAAAGAGAGTTAATTTTTTTTAATGCATACGACGAAATGTGGCGGGCGGACGGGCGGGCGGCTGATTAATAAAAGTTGGCGTTGGCATGTTGATATATAAATGATACCAAAACGAAAGATACTTGAACAGAGAAATTAGTGAGGAAAACAGCTGGCGAAATGAGGAGGAAAAGAGGAAAGAAAAGTAAAACAAAGTGCAATAGCGGCGGCAAAAGTTGATAGAAAAACAACTGATATATATAGATAAATATATATATATATATACTAGGATATTTATATACAGATAGAGCCGGGGCGAGTAGAAGGAGCAGGGCTTCTTGTATGTACAGTGGACAAACTCAGGAAACCAAAAAAAAACGTAAACAATCGAAAAAAAACAACGAAATACACAAAAACAACATGATTAACCACTCTCTTCAAGCACACACCACACACAAAGCTGTGTTCCGGTTCCGGTTCCGGAGCTTCATCAACGCTGCTCACTCACCTCGGCATTATCTTCCTCCTCCTCCTCCGTTTTGATATCAGAGGATTCCGCAATATTGTCGTTGCCTAGCGCCGAACTTGAGCCAGCACTGTTCCCACCGCCGCCGCCACCGCCACTATTTCCTCCTCCTCCGCTGCCCAGCGCAGGATTCGCCAATCGTTCCACATATTTGCTGAACTTTTGGGTCTTCAAAGCAGTCGGTTTCTCCACTTCCTCGGGCTCAGAGTCGAGCAGCTCGATGGTTACGCGACAATCGATTTTATACTGTAAATAAAGGTTTGGTTTTTGTTTAGTTTCATTTGGAAGATAATAATCAATAGGTTCGGATCAGAGTTCAACTTACAATGTACACCTTGAAGCAGTTCTCGTCGTTGAGAATGCTTTCCGCCTTGCGCTGATACGCCATCTCTCGGTCGAAGGTCTTGTGCGCATCGCGACAGAGTCCGCCGGTGCTGCCACGCCGCTGCTCAGACCCATAGAGCTCCACACAATCCAGGGCGGCCCGCTCTGTCACACAGTATTGAAGCTGGCGAACGGCATTCGATACAACCTGGGGGAGGGAGCCAGAGGTTAGTCTCATGTCATCTAATGGTGCAATCATCAACGCTTACCTTGTCCAGCGTGAAGGAAATGTACGCATAGATGCCAAACATTTCCCGCATGGTATCCTCAAAGGTATTCGAGTCCATGTTGCCATCCAGTACGTTCTTCAGCATGTCGAGGAAGGTGGGATAATAGTCCTCCACTTGGATGTCCGGCTTGGGCTTCAGTCTTAACGCTGTGGCTGTACTCTCCCTTCGGTTCACTCGGCAGCGTTCCTCCTCAATGGCCAGCAGGCGCGCCCGCTCGTACATCA